GAGCCCTGTCCCCCTTCTTGCGGCACCAGCCTCCGCGACTGCTGGGCCTGGATAAGATTGCTGAAGTTAAATATATGCTTATATATTTAATCCTGGATTTTTATTCTTTGCTCTGGAGAATGCTGGAACAAGGAGACCCCTCCCTGGACACACCGATTGCTTCTTAAATCACACGTTTCTTAACGCTTTAAAGCTTTTTTTTTCCCCTTTTTTCCCCCTTTTTTCTTTCCTTTTTTTTTTTTTTAAATTCTTGAGGTTTTTTTTGTTGACTTGTGTACTTTGTGGCGCGCAGATCCTGCGGCCCCTTAGTAAAGGTGCTAGTCCAGTGCAAATTTGCTTTCCTGAGGTGCTCACAGGCTTTTTCCAGAGTGAGGCAGTAGGAAGTTTTAATGGGATGTGCAATGTGCTGTACAGCAGCTGTGGAAGTGTAGGCGCAGTGCTGCTTTCTAGTTGGTTTAATTTAAGTAGAGAGTAGTAATAGGCTGCACTCTTCTGTGCTTTTAAATTGTTGATGTGAGGCTGCTCTCTATTTATTACCTAAGCACTTGTTCTGTGAAGGCCTTGCCCAGTTGAAGATCTGGTCTGAGTCTTGCTATTTTCATCTTAGAACACCCTTAAAACACCTTTTTGGTCATTCATTTAAACAGCTGGACGGCTGGTCTGTGTTTGCTACCACGTCTTGATTGCTCAGTGGACTCAGTAGTAAAGGCTCATTATCTGGACTTTCCTTCCTGTTTGTGAACTTCTTAAATATCATGTTGTGATCTGGAACCAGAGTGACTCATTTGAGCACTGCAGTTCGCATTTTGTATCTGTGGGCCATCGTGGAGAACTTGACATTTACCAGCAAAGAAGTACTGAGGATACCTGGTTCTGAGTGCAGGCTAAAAATGGGATAGAAATTCAGAATTAAGAAATTCAGAAATGCTGCAGATTCCGTACATCATGAAGTAACAGGTCAGCGGATTTGATTTTTCAAGAAAGAAAAGTTCTGTGATAAAGTCCTGGCCTTGAATTCTCTCTTTGCTTGTTGAAGCTGCTGTCACATCTGTTGAGAAGATATGTTATAAAAAATGTGGAGAGCTGCTGATCCTCTTTGCAGTTATCAAACAAGCAGTTGTTTTCAGGTTTTGTTTACAAAGGGCTGGTTTGGAAGCAACATAGAATCAGTTAAAGAACTTGCATTTTAGTCTTGCTGTGTAAGCTCAGGAGGAGCAATAGTTGTTGTGATTAACAGACAACTGCATCAGAAATCTTGCTTATCTGTCAGTGTGTTATAACAGTTGTTAAATATCAAGGGTGCTTGCCATCAAGGTATTGGGCTTTAAAAATTATTTAAAAATTATTTTAAAAGAATGTAGCCATTTGTTATGTAGGCTTGTGTTTATTTTGTGAGAGTGCTGTGCTATCTATCTTGTGACAATAGATGACAGTTTAGAAAATCGGGATACATTCAAGTAGTGTATTAAGTGATTCCTGTTCTTATATTTGAAAGGCAGTAAACATCTAGGGTAAAATAGTGAGCTCAACTTTGTAAATAGTAGTCAGAAAAATTCTCCTTACTATTTTTGCTCTTTCGTGTCATCCTCTTCACTGCGTGCCTTTGAGTGCAATGCTGGAATGGTGAGTAGCATTCCCTTGTTGTGAGCTTTGAAAGCAGGTGGACTTCAGAAGAATGGATACGTACTTGGGATGGACTTGGGCGTCTTTCGAAGACTCAAAGAATTGAGGGTTTCCCCTCACTTTACAACCAGTCTGTCTCATTCAACAGTTCAGTGTGGTGCAGTTGATGAGATAACCTCACCGTGTTTTCAGCTTTTGCAGAAGCCAAGTTAACTTTTCAATTTTCTTTGCCTCTAATATGGAGACACAAAGATGCAGTACGTAGCAAGAAGGAGTTCTTCACGGTGCCTCAGATTGTGCTTTCATTACCGTGCTTGGCTTTAATATTAGCCACTGCTATGGATGAGCAGCAGCAGTGTAGCACTATGTAAACCAAAGTATGGATATCAGCCATTAATTATGTTTCATTTTCTTTCCACAGTTAAGTTGATTTTACAGAATTTATCAGGTCTTCCAAGCAGAAACAGGTAAGCTGCCAAAAGCTTAACGCTTCTCACTGAGTACTGTGAAAAGATCACACACGACCTTTCCTCACAGACTTGTGCCTGGGAAATAGGATATGCTCTCCTGAGTGCATGCGGCTGCTGCAGTTAATACTCTGGCTACATGAAAGAGACAACATTTTTGAACGCTGAGAAAATAGAGATGTTATTGAACAGAACTGATCCCTGGGTAGAGCAACTTGACAAAGCATTAAAGCCATCATTGTTGGTGAATTGCTTCATTTTTCAGTGATGTAGTTATTGTTTTTTCATTCCCCTGTTACCATCAAGTACTTCTGCGTTATGATAGCAAGTCTCTTGACCTAAGTAAACAGGATATTTTTGGGCCTTAGGATTGGACAGAGATCTCTGGCATATAGTAATTATGCCATGAAAGTCTTAGGTGTTCCTTATGTATTGTGGATGGTGAGGAGTGACTTAGGTGGATTTTGTTGCCCTTAGGATAGGGAATATTGATCTGTGCATATGTGCAGGTGGAATAGCCAATTGTTCTGACTAATCAACTTTCAGTGAATCCTGCCTTAATCTTATTCTTGTGAGTTGTTTGATGCCTTCTCTCTTGATTGAGACAAGGATATTGATTAAAAAGGCTCTAGCTTAAGTGTTAAGATACTGTAATAGCTATTAAAGACGTGCTATCATGTGTACCTTTTTGTCTGCAGGTGATTTTTGCTGTGGGTTGAGCTCAGCATGGCTGTAGTCATCCGTTTACAGGGGCTTCCTGTTATTGCGGGTCCTGCAGATATTCGTCGTTTCTTCTTGGGATTGAATATTCCTGATGGAGGTGTGCATATTATTGGAGGAGAAATTGGGGAGGCTTTTATTATATTTGCAACAGATGAAGATGCACGGCGTGCAATGAGCTGTTCAGGAGGGTTTATCAAGGACTCGCGCATAGAGCTCTTTCTCAGCAGCAAGACAGAAATGCAGAGTACCATAGAAATGAGCCGGAAACGATTTGATCGTGGGGGACGAGAACCTATGCCTGGGTCTAGACGACCATGTGCTAATAATTCTGGTCCTTCGGGTGTTGGAGAGTTTTCACATTTAGTTCCAGCTTTTCCAAAAGGAATGAGTAAACCTAGCTACGGTCCACCAAATCATCCGGAGGCTGGTTTCCATGCCAATGGCACAAGACATGGTGATGCAGGTATACCTAAATCCATCTATCCCCAGCCAAGAAAAGATCCGCATCCATTTAACCCAGATGATCTTTACTTATTTCTGCGTGGAATACCTTACTCTGCCACGGAAGATGAAGTTCGCGCTTTCCTTTCTGGCTTACGTGTGGATGGAGTCATTCTGATAAAGCATCGCAATGGCTTAAACAACGGTGATTGCTTGGTAAAATTTGCCACGCCTGGTGATGCCTTAGAAGGACTTAAACGTCATAGACAATACATGGGTCAGAGGTTTATAGAAATAAGCCCATCTTCGGAGGAGCGGTGGATTGAATATGGTGGGAGGGTGGACATGACAAATGAGATGGATCACTTCTTGTGCGAAGAGCGTTCTCCAGCCAGAAGCGCAGGCTACATGCATCCCAGGAAGCATTCGCACTCCAGGTCGCCGAGGAGACAAAGAACGCGCTCTCGTTCACCTCCCACCCAGGAATACTACATACACTTAAGAAATCTCTCTACTAATCTCGAGAAGAGAGATTTGAGAGCATTTTTCCCTGATCTGGATATTTGCAGCAAACAAATTAAGTTCCTAATGGATAAGCATCAGAGGAGGACTAGAGATGCGTTTGTGATGTTAAGGAGTGAGAGAGATTATCAGGCTGCTTTGGAATATCATAGAAAGGCTCTTCTCAATCGCCCTGTTTACATTTTTCCAATTTCAAGAAGATCAATGTTGAAAATAATTGATTCTTGTGAGAGGAAAAGATCACAGGAAAGAGATCATCCTGGACAAGGCTTACAGGATAAGAGTTATCGGGAAGGTCATCCTGGCCCTAAGCTATGTGCTTATGTAAGAAATTTTCCATTTGATGTGTCCAAAATTGAAGTGCAGAAATTCTTTGCAAGATTTGATATTGATGAAGAGGATATTTACTTGCTCTATGATGACAAAGGAGTTGGGTTGGGAGAAGCGTTAGTGAGGTTTAAGTCTGAAGAACAAGCCATGAAAGCAGAAAACTTAAATCGGCGGAGGTTCTTGGGAACGGAGGTGTTATTGAGACTTATATCTGAAGAGCAGATGCAGGAGTTCGGTGTAACTGTTCCGTTGTCTGGACCAAGTGAAATGCAGGGTCATTCGCAGGCGTATGACAGAGGGGAGCTTTCCCGGCCAGTTGGTTCCCCTCCTGGACCTCCGCAGGGACCGCCCATGCATTCCTTTGGTCCCCCGGGGAATTTTAGGCATCCTTCTGAATTTAGGCACCCCCCTGATGACTTCATGTGCCCTCCTGAGGACTTCCGAGGACCTCCACCACTCATGGAATTTGGTGACAGTGAACCTTTTGGCAGAATGGAGTTTGGAAATAGCAAAATGGGAAGTTTTCCTGAAGGAAGATTTATGCCTGATCCCAATTTCAGTGGCGGTTCGGAACGCGTTGTTCCTGTTCGATTGAAAAATTTGCCGTTTAAAGCTACTCCTAATGAGATTCTGGATTTTTTCTATGGCTACAGAGTGATCCCAGAGTCGGTCTCTATTCAGTATAACGAGCAAGGATTGCCTTCGGGCGATGCCATTGTCGCGATGACAAACTATGAGGAAGCTATGGCTGCTATTAACGAACTGAACGATAGGCCAATTGGTCCTCGGAAAGTTAAGTTGAGTTTGCTCTGAAGGAGGAAACATGCTCTAGAATAAAATATTCTAGATTTGACAGTATTGACAATTATTTTCACTTTTTTAAATTACTGGAAGATGTAGAAGAAACGGTTTCCATCAACGGTTGTAAATAGTGTCTAGTTTAGCTGTTTAGTTCTTGGTTGAAATATGTGTATGGTTAAGATACCTGAGAACTGTATCGTGCCTGTTTCTTGTGGCAGAGAAGAGCCCGGAAATTTTGGAGGACGCTGAATATCAAGGTATAAAAGCACGGAGTTGCAATGCTTTTATTTTTTCTTTCCTCCAGTTTTCTTTAAATTCATGTCCCATGGCTTTGCATCAAATAAAAGTATGTGCTGAATGATCGACCACACAGACGGTTCAAGCAGAAAAACTTCAGTGCTGACTGCTTTAGTAAATTACACATTTTATTGAGAATAGCTTGAAAAAATTAGTGATTTTTTTTTTTTGTGTAAACCGTTCAGTCTTTTTTCAGTTTTATGTTGTTGTAGGCATCTCAATGTGGGGAGGGAGGGAACATGAAGAGTTTCCTGTTCACATTAGCTGGCTTTGCTGGCTTGCAACTTTTTTAAATAATAAAGAAAAATCACTAAATATGTGTCTGTGTTTAAAACTTGCATATTTGGACTACTATGCTCAGTGTGCGTCGGTCTTGGTGAGAAGGATACGGGCTGTTTTGTGTGTAAATTATGAAAACTTGTCAGTACAGCAGTGGCTATTTAGGTTACAGTCTCTCCTGATCTCTGTTAACTAGTCTGATGGCCTTTATTGGTCCCTTCACATAGGGTGGTACTTTGAGGAAGAAGGTGAGTATTTGGAGACAGGTAGAGATCTGGGCAGCAGACTGACATTTTGGTGGGATCTTCCTTTCATCACCCACTTGTCATGCTGGCATCAGCTCACCAGTGATGCTCAGTTGCGTTTCAGGTCACTGAACAGTTTTAACCTGCATCTGTCATTGGCAACAAAGGACAGGCAGTTATTTTCTTACGTAAAATACCTTTTTTTTTTCTTTCTAATACTTTTTTAAACCGGTATATTTCAATTCTAACAAGAAAAAAACAGGCCTGTTTTGGGGGTAACTCTGCTTTAAGATTTTCGTGTTTAGTAGGGGACCTGTTTTTTCTGTGTGGATAAGGACTTTGCTCACTGTTGCCATAGAGATTATACAAAATAATGTATGGACTGCTAAAGAATTTTATGAATATGTTCTCAAACTAAACCAGCAAAACTGCAACACAGTGGTGAGTGCTGTAGCATCAAGCTTTGTGTGGGTGATTTCTTGGGTGTAAAATCATCAATTACTTTGTTTGTATAAACTGGGAGTAGAAACAATCAAAAAAATAAGAGACCTTTTTATTTTATATTTTTAAAAAGACTAGTGTAGTTTCATTTCTTTTGCATTTTGTTTGTCATCTGTTACATTAGGGAAAAATAAAAATACTTCTTAAAAATGGTAACGATAAGTCTGTGTACGTAGATTCCTTGGAACAAAAAAACTTAAGGCGAAATTTTCAAATTACAGATACGGGCTAGTTCCGCTTGAGAATTTTACTGTGTTCTGAAAGCTCTTCCAAATTCAAATAGATTTTAAAATTTTTGATGCCTTTTCTTCCCAGTTGCACTATAGAGGTCAATAAACACAAAGCCGAGATATATATTTCATTAAAAGAATTTGGAGGTGGGAAATGTAGCTTATTTGTAGCTTAGGCTTCTTCTAAAACAAAATCTTGAACTTACCTCAGTGTCATCATTTGTTCTCCAAAAGGTGCGAGTAACTTTTGATGAGGTACCATTAATTTGGGAGAGGAAAAATATTCTGCCCCTACCCCAAAAAAACCCCAAAAACGAAAAAACCCAACCCAGACACATATAGTGGTAGATGTCATGATTGTGTGATTTAGTATTTCTGTTGTGGTTTGCCCTATAGCTAATTTGGCTTTAAGGCCACATTACAATTTGATTGCTGTTATAAACGAATCTATAAAATACTGGGCTGGTATGTCAAAAGTGTTCAGAAATATATACAAACTAATAGGATCTTGTAAATCTTCCACTAAGCAAATAAGGTAAGAAAAATCTCCATACATGTATTTTTAGGCAATATTTAATATCTTCCATTTTCTCAAGTCATTTTTGATACAGACTTTTTTTTTTCCCCGTACTGGAGTGGCTGCATAAAGGTGTCAGAACTTAAGAAATATGTGCCTATTCAATATATAATCTGAGAGCAGGTGTGTAAAGGTTGTACTTTGCTTTACATGTTCACGTGTTTGGGTCTTCTTGGTATCTTAGAGAAGTCTGCAGAAAAATCTCAGAAGAATACTGAGGGAAATTCTAATTAATTCTAAATTAAAAGTTTTCAGACCTGAAACTTTTAAAAATATCTGATGTAGAGATCTTTCTCCTTATCAAGATTTAAGGGATTTTTTTTTGAATTTAATTAGGATTTTTAACTCTTACCTGGGAGATTTTGTGTGTGTGTATATATTTGTGTGTGTGCTTGTATTTCTGAATTTGGCTTTTACAAAAAGCATTATCTCAAAATATTGCTTCAGAATAAGCTTTTCCATATTACTGTTTTACAAATCGTCTATGAAGAGTTGGTGCTTTGGTGACTCCAGTTACTCCAGTTCCAGTTACTCTAGTTCTGGCCTTCACGTATGGTCAGTATTAAGAGTGAGTTGTGAGAAATTACTTGGGTGGCAGAGGTTTTGTGTAATTTTTTCCTTCTCTACATTTCAAGAGTAAAATGTCTTTGCTTTGACAACTTAATATATGATTTTTCTATTTCTTTCATGGAATGACTGAATATATTTGTCAGTAGGTGTTTGAGTAATTCTGTAATTACATTCTAATTTTCTCTTCCGTTTTTATAAAGTCTCTTTTTTGTCAATAGCTTCTAGCTCGTGTATTTGTCCAACAAGCAAACTTATGTTGGACAGTAGAGCAGCCCAGCAGCCTGTTTGCCCCTTCACCAAGTGGACTTTGTGAAGGAGACAAGGGGAAGGAAGTTGAAGCTGTTCACGAAAAAAAATCCCCTTCTGTACCCTGGCCACTAATGTGTTAGTGGGGACTAATCTAAATGCTATTTCCTCCTTAGAGTTAAATAATTCCTCGAATTTCTTTCTTATCTGAACTATACCAAATCCTTGCTTGTTTGTCAAACTTTGTATCAACAGACAAAAGCAACATCAATATTAAAAATGTATTTCCTGCTTTATTTCCTTAATTGAATGTATATTTTGGTTATAAATTAAGATCATTCTCCTAGCTGTGATTTAAAATTCTAGCATTTCTTTTTTTAAAAAAAAGTTTTAAAATGTTCATTATTCTTAGAATTTGAGTATCTCTTTTTACATTTAGTAAATTCTAAAGTTAGAGATAAGCAATATGGCAGCATTATTTTGGCAAGAACAGGTTATTCAAAATGAACAAAAGCAAGCATCATTTCCAAATAGGATGAAAACTTAAGACTCAGAGTGTGCAATTTCTTGTGTGCTTGATAGAATAGGTAACTGAATCAAGCAGGTTAGTCAAATATGTAAACTTCAACTTACATAAAATGTCAATTAGTAAAATTAATTTTATTATGAAGGCACTTTTATTCAAAAGCAAAGCAGTATGAAAAGTAGATGTTGCACCAGACCTTTACATTTGTGTTAATGCTTCATTCTGTACATGTAAACGAATCAATTAAAAACCAGCTCTGAGGAAGCCTGAGGAAAATGAGAGAGAAAACAACTCGCACCTGCTGCCTTCTGTGAACCACGGCAGGCAACAGGATGTAGCGGGACCGATGCTGGAATTGGTTTCGTGCCTGTCGCGGTTCCTTTCAGATGCAGAACAGCCACTGTGGCAGGGACAGCCAGAAGGAAATCCAGGAGTGTGTGTTTTGACCCAGGAGTGTGTGTTTTGTAACGTGTTGGCCAAGTGACGAGCGCGCTCGCACATTCCTCACTGCCTGGCAGCGTAGTGCGCGTTTGGGACGCTGCTCATCATGAAAGTTGGTGTAAACATGACTGCAATATAACACCTATGCAAATCTAACACAGAATTCTAGTTAAATGTTTCATTTTCTGTCTACTGAAAATTGTCCGTTTTCAGCAGATTTATTTCCACTCTTCAAAACTGATCATTTGTGGTCTGTAAAACACAGTGTACTATTAATACTATTTTTTTTTCCATCCGTTGGAATTTTAAAACTACAACCCCAGGGAAAATTCTCATTAATACATACAAGGTGATTTTTTTTTTCTTTTTTTACCCCCATCAATTAAAACTGTTCTAAATCTTTTTTTTTATATCATCTCTCTTCCTTAGTAGCATCTAATTCTTCTTCCTCATCTTCCTCCTCTTCATCTTCCTCCTCCTCTTCATCTTTTCTTAGTCGACTGCTGGAAATCGGCTAAAACAAAGAAACAAAAAAAAACGTAAGTCAAGTATGCTTGTTTGGCTGGAAGGAAAACTTTTTTGTGTTCATTCAAAATCTAAGGACTTGTAGATTGTTCCTATATATGTGTGTATATATATATTTTTGAGGGGGGGGGAGGGTGAGAATGGGGTAGAGTTTATCCAGATACTGTTTCATCTTCTAGCATAGACTAGAAGACAGCAAATGAAGGAAATGATTATTATTTTTTAAAGCTGCAGCTAGTTCTGAAAGCTGTTATATCATGGGAAAACTACGTACTGACTGCATTCTTGTGAAACACCAACACTGCGTGAGCCGGGTGCTCTGTGCGTGGGCAGCTCAGCTGACAGGCTGAGATGAGCAGCAGGGAATAATCTTGAAGACACCAAACTTTTCCAGTTGAATGAAACACCCAACACTCTGCTGCTCTAAGCATGTTGAGAGCAGGGCCTCCGGTATAATGAGCCAAAGACATTTTATTGAGTGTCAGCTATAGCTTATATCCCGTGCTGTCCCGGGTACAATGCTGTATTTGCCTACAGGCACGTGAAGCAGTCACTGAACAAACCAGCAAGCTACAGGCTTACACGGAGACTGCCCCCTCAGCTCCTCCGTCCCGCAGCAGCCATACCGCTGTTCTTGCTCCTTGTTTGCTGAAGAACACCTGCACTGCCGGCCTTGAGGCTGGTTAGCTACTAACGAGGCATCCTGTACTACTGTCTTTGAAGCAGGCTCCACATTAAGCTGTCTGCAGGACAGCTTAAATGAGACAAACTTTACTAGGGGATTCCTGATTTGTGTGTGAACTGTGCTTGCCCTTCAGAATGGTACCTTGGTGCTTTTTCAGTTCATGAAATGTTACATACAAGGGGCTGCTGTCTGCCTTTCCTCTCACCTCACAGATGGAGCCATCCAGCCTTCCTATTTTCTTTCTTTTTTCCCCTCCTCTCTCCTAGTAAAGGGTCTGTTAGTTCTTACTGCAGATATATCATTCAATTAACACTTCTTGAAACTAGCTTCCAGGCTGGTCATAATTTTGTGACTCTCTGCACTTACTTATTTATGGCCTATTGCTCCATTTGTTCTTCTGCCAGCACTATTTGACTCAAATATTTTTTCTTTCTTTACAGAGTGTCTATTAAAGGTGAATATGATTGTTGTTAATTAAGCAAAGCTTTATTTTCCACTGAAAATAAATGTTTGTAAATATAAAAAGCACAAAAAGTTATGAAAGCAGCGTACATAGATACAGATACAAAACATACATCTAAGGCTTAGATTTGTTTTGGGGGTTAGTTTTCTGTTTAAAACCTTTTCAGTTCAAGGCTGATTTTCCATCAATCCAAATAAGTGACTGTCACTTACAGCAGTTATTAGAAGCTCTAATAATAGAAGGAACTATTACCAAAAAATAACAAGTAACAAATTGTTTAATAACATTCATACTTCTTGTGTGTTACGTAATGCAGCAATTCTAATAAAATGGTGTAACTCAGCCTTGCAGAACAGTATTTCCTTTGGCTGTCAGTATTAAAGGCAGTTCTTTGTGCCTTAAGAAAAGAGGGGGAATAAAAAGCTGTCCCTTTCTTTCTATCATTTAAAGAATTTTACAGAGGTAGGGATATGACCCTTTGGAATGGTACTTAAAGAGGAAATGCTGGACTGCATATCATGTTTGCAAATGTTTGCATTTGCAGTGTGCTCAGGAAATTGCTAAATTTTCAGTTATGATTCCTAGGTTTTCTCACATATGCTTATCTCTATAGGCTTTAGTACTGAAGGCAAATTTTGTCTCTTTTTATTTCCTCCTTTTAAAAGTCCTTAAACCTGGTTATTAAACTCTGACTTTGAAATTTCATAATTTACAATGTTCATGTACCTGTTATGTAGAACAGAAACACAGAGCTTGTGTGTATGTACATAAAGCAAACTTTAAACAGGGGAACTAGAAAAGTCCTTAGTTGTTGATGCTGTCATTTTTAAAGGCAGTTTGATCTCAGGCAATGCAGAGAGTTGAACCTGGTGCAAATACTAACTTAGTTACAAGTTTCTAAACATAATGGAAAGTGAAGTTAATCATTGGATAAAAGCGGTTTAACTTTGGACCAAGTGCCTAAAAAAGCAATCCTTTATTCTTCCGTGAGAAAAGACAGCGACACTGATTCGTAATCGGAGAAATGGGAATGCTGCAGATGGAGCCTGAGCTTCGCTTCAAGTGACAGGATAAATTCCAGGTGTTTTCCATGTTACAGCATCTGCATTTCTTAAGTAGAACTTCCATCACATTTCTGATTAAAAATTCCTCTTCTCTGGAATAAGAGATGCTATTTGGGATTTAAGTTTCTTTCTGCTCACTAGTAAAGTACCTGTGACCAAGCTGTAGATTAAATGAATATTATCATAGGTCAAAGTGAGGTGGCTGTAAAATGACTTAACTTTAGTTCTTAAGTGGATCAAAGTAAGGGAAGCAATAAAGGAAACTTGGTATCCAAATACCTGTTACTTTGCCATAAAGCTCATGTATACCAATACTTTACTTAAATTACTTAATGCTGAAAAAAAATTCTATTTTAAGCAGATAGTGCCATCTCTAATGAGAGTTCTCTAAGCTTTGCAGCCTGCCCTTGCACGGGCTGTTCAGCTGTGTTTTTCTCCAGGATGGACGGAAATCTGGCTGTTTCAGCCACGTGGAGGGACGTGCGGCGAGTCCCTCTGTCTGTCTGCAGCCGCCCTCCCCAGGGAGCAGCGCTGGAAAACCCGGCTGTGCAGATCCAGCCTGCCTGCTCGAGGGCTTTGCTGTCCTCTAAGGGCAAGCACAGAACTAGTGGCTATAAAAACTGCATGTGGATAAAAAACAGTGTAGTTTGCCTTGATCTAATGTGCCTGTTAAAAAAAAAAAGAAGAAAAAATAAAAAATAAAAAAATGCAGCTGTCCTCTACTGTAGTTCTGGCTAAATGCACTGCACCAATCTGAATCAGTAAAAGGAAGTGCCAAAGAAATTGTCAAGTTTGTAAAACACAGAATGTAGGGCTTTGCTAGGGATTGTTATGAAAACTTGCATAGATTTTCCTCATTTGTGTAAAATTAAGTATCTGTAAAATTTATGTTTAAAGCACAAAATCCCTGGCAGGTACGGCAGAGGAACTGGCATCTCAGTTTCAGCAGCTGCTCTGAGTGGGAGCTGAAAACTGACCAACTATGAAAGTCAAGGGGGAGAAAAAATTCAGGATAGAAGTGTTTGAAGACCAATGTAAAAATATGAAAAGTATGTAATTTTGTTGTCTGAAAGTGGTGTTTGCACATTCCAGCTCTTAACTGCTTTAAACTGAAAGTCCAACACTACTGCATTACAGTCAGTAGGAAATTATTATGTAGCACAAAACCAGACTGAGGTGAAAACTTTGGAACTGAAAGATCCACGTAAGATGTGATGATACAAGTCACTTGTAGGTTTGCTCAACATAACGGTTCTTTAGCCAAAAGACAGGCCTAGGAGACAAGTATAACAAACCTGTAAATTATCCAAAATGGAATTCTCTGCCACCTCTGGAAGAAATTTCAGTGTCATATCATTCAGATTCCCCCCCCCCTTTTTTTTTTTGTACAGTGTCCAAAAATACAGATATCTGTGGTGCCTCAGAGAAATTTAAAGATACTACTATCCTTAATACTATTCTACAGTGCTACAGGGTGTTCTTAAAGCAGGTAATAAACTGCCTTCTCTGGTGATCAAATAGCTAACAGCAATATTGTGCACTGCTACCCAGTGGATCACGACCCTGCTGCACAAATGAGGCAGAAAAATCACCTCTTTCCATGTAGTCTCTTACTTCTGTCAGCCCTAACAGGTGGAGCATCATTAATCTCAGTTAGTTCCTTGAGTGACAGAACTGATAAAGTTTCTTTTTCAGAGGTAACCTGTCTGAGTGTCTTTTTTTCTTCTTTTAAATCAACTGCAACAGGCTACCTAGGACTGACCTGGCGTTCTACACTGTGATGTAGGCAGGTACCTATTTCCGAAAGGGACTTTCTAAAGAACTGAGCTTTTTTGGAATTTATACATTCCTGGCATGCAGAATTGCAACATACACTTTAGAGCAAAGAAACTGGACACTTCCCAGTAGCTGTCCTGGATTTACCTCAGATGTATTGCCTGAAGACAAGGAAACTGTCTCTTGACTACCTTTCAGGTAGCCAAATTTGATTTTTATGGTAAGTTTCACTATCTGGCTTAAAGAAAAAGCCTAAAAGAAAATCAGTAGGCATCTCACATATGAAAAATGATTTATAATTGAGGCAGGTGTGGTTTTAAGGACTTTTTAATCTAAATAAAAAACCCTTTTATGTTCTTGGAATACTGCACTTAGTACTTTAGGAAATAATAAGTGTCCTGCCATTTTGTAGCACAGTGATTCCACCTCAGCCCTCCTGAGAAAGGCTTGCATGTGTTATCAGAGTTTTGTTAATGTTCTGAGAAGGAAAGACCTGGTTTTGAATAAGGGGCTCACTACAGTTTCATTATTTGGATTTGGACCTCACGCTGCCCTTTACTGTGATTTCATAGAACAAGGTGCCGTAACTCAGAACATCTTAGTGCATAGATCTTCACTTTAGGGGGTGTTTATTAGCCTTTTGTTTATCGGTTTTGTTCTTTTACAAAACAAAACAAAACAAACAAACAAAAAACCCAAAAAAAAAACAACTATTTGGTGTAATTTAAATCAAATTGGATATTTCTAGATTTTTAGCGACTAGCGCATTCTCAATTAGTTACAATTAAAGAAGCCAGTACTTGAACCTGAAACGTACTTGTCCGATTGTGCATCTTACTCAAATTCAAAGTTTGTCTTCATGCACTTAAATACACAGATAGTATTTCTGGTCTGAGCTGGGTAACTGGTGGTTCCTGTGAGTAAGGCTATGTCAAGGTTAAAGAATGTAATTTCCTTCTAAGAAGTCCTAGTGTTCATCTGCTGTGCAAGAACCCATGGTTTGTTACTGAAGGAAACTACATCACTGGAAATGGCAGTCTTCAAATCTAAACACCGCCACTAGGAAAGGAGTCTGCATTATTAAAAGCTTAATAGGATCTTTATAGGCTTGGAAGTCCCTTTACCTCTTGTACCTGTCTAATGATGCCTAAAGATAGTGGACTTGTGCACGCTAACATTGGCATTACATCTGCTTAAGATATTCTTAAAGCATTTAATGTTTCTGTCTTACCTGTAGCATCCTCAGTGAGGATTTCGAGGAACCAGTTCTTTGCAAGGGGGACTTTGAATTTGCACGAACGATGTCTAAGCGAGACTGATAGTCTGGTGGATAGAGCGAGCTCCGAAAAACCTGTTCAGATGAAGAAAACTGGGATTTTGGTGCAATGCTACAGCTTGCAACCTAACAGTCCACAAGACTAAAGCTCTCTAACAAAAATGCAGCAATGGACAATCGTAACAAAACACTGCTGTAGAAATAATGTATCAAAATGGTAGTTTGGATGGACCACTTGGAATCACTTTTAGCAAAAATAACATCCCTGCTCACCCCAAAACACATCACACCTATCAACACCTTTACGTGGGGCAGCTACACATTCTTCAGATGAGGGGATGCAGAATTCCTGGAGTGATTTGCAGGTGGGATTCTGCCATGGTTCCCTGGGGCCTGGGCACACACTGTGTGTGGGATGGGTCAGGCCTAGCCTAGATGTGCAGCTGAGTTTAAGGCTGAGCTAGAGATACCAAGCCCAGCTAGAGATGATAACCCCCTGGCAGGCCTTCCATGCTGGGGAGAGATGAACTGCTCCGGCCTGTCAGCCGCAGCACAAGGATTGTATTTGAAATGCTCAAGAGACGTGCAGCTCAATTTGGGAAGAATCCTAGAAGGGAGGAACATGTAGTCTTCATTGTATTTACTAATTCTTTCCATTATCCAGTAAATTCCAGGACTAGCAGCCCGATACAGAAACCAGCAGAACTACTGAGGCAAGAACTTTTTAATAAACTGAAGGAAGATGGAATTATGGCCAGTCAGTATGTTTATGGGGAATAAATGTTGTCAAAGTAAAGTGAGATTATAAGTTTGTTTGCAAAAGCCAAAATATTTACTTAGAAGGCTTTTTTTTTTGATTCAGTGATACTGATATTTTAATTATGAAACTAGAATAACGCAACATTGACATGAAGTAAAACAAACAAACAAACCCCTCCCCAAGCGACACCCCACAAACTACTGGGTCTCAGATGTGACCATCACTGAAGAATGGGGGGTTTACATATGTTTCAATGACTGAACACTGACATCCTATTCAATGTCACAGAAAAAATAAAATTAGTACTGGTAAAATTTACAAAAAAAATGCCAAAATATTGGAAATGAACCAATTTCCTTGACAAACTGAATGCATGCACGCAGTATCCTTTTAAATAATAGCAAGTCTAAGGTACAATTTGTAACTCAAGAGTAAAGGTGACTGGAAGACAAGCTGAAACTGTAACATGTCTAAAGAAATGGTAACAAATGTCTCAACTCTAACAACAGCCTAGTAAGCGATATGTGAAAGATGAAGAAAAACAAAATTGAGATTAAAAAGAAAATACACATTTTTAATGGAGCAATTAGCCTTTAGAACACGTTATCAGACTAATGAGAAGATTCTCTCTTGCTGTGCATCTTTACAGCAAGATTCACTGCAGAAGTGATCCTAGAAGATGCCCTTTAATAACTGTAATTGAACTCGGCTTGGAACAGTAATTAATTTAGGAAAAGTCTCTTATCTGTATTTTGTACAAAAGATTAGATAGTCACTGCTGTTTTTGTCTACTTTTAAAATCTATGAGTTATAAACCTGTGTGACCTGTAAGCTGCTTGTTGGAATGGTGCAAAAAGGGCTCAATGTAAGATGACAGTTTGATCTATTCATCTTTTTTTGTTTTGTTTTGTTTTGTTTTCCCTAATATATATATAGCTCAGGAGTGTGGGAAAAATAACTTCATACAGCATGTAAATTAAAAAGTATAGTTTAATTACTCTCACCTCTAAATCTTCATTTTCATCAATATTCTGGATATTTTGGTAGGCAGCAGTATAAATCTCCAAAGCTTTCCCATGAAATAACATTTCAATGGTTATAAATTCAGAAAATATATTCTAAAAGCAAAAGAAAACAAAGGTTTTCTTAATTCAGTAAAGAACATTTTTACTTCAAATGTTAAATGATGTTTTTATGATACAAATGACTGCACAAAACCTAGTATTTTTGTAGTAAAAAAAATGGACTTGAATTTGTGACATTAAATGAAATGCTGGTTAGGATCTCACCTGTCTAGTCATCAATTCATACTAAATTTTAAGTACACATTTGAAAAACAAAGTTGACACATTTAGGAGATCACAAAATCTATTTGCAAAATCTATTTACTGCCTATCTATTTACTGATAGCAAACTTTACCTCATTTGGAACAAATGATCTATAAGCTTTAAACACATAATTCTTTCTAAATTATTATTATATATTTCTAATTATATTTCTATATGAAATATAATACCGTTATATAGTAATATTCCTTCCCTTTATAATGGTATCTCTTAAACTCACACAATCTTACTGATGTTCTATCAAATACTGATGGGTTTGTGTTTTTCTTTTTTCCCTAAACTTTTTTTTTTTAATATTTATTTTCCTTTTTTGAAAGATAAAAAGTATTCAGCATGAGATTGCATAGTTTAAACCTTTCTCAATTGCCATAGTCCTTGGGACTTGAGCAGCTCCTAAACATTTGACACTGCATTAGTCAGACTTAACTCCAGCAACCTAACCCAATCTCAGCATGGATTGTTATACTGGTTACTTATCACTACTGTTGATTTTACTGATTTAAGGCAGATATCATTGCACTAACAAAGCAAACTAGAACACAGAAACTGTTGGATACTGCATGTAGACGTTAAACAATCAAATTCAGGAAAATCTTGAAGCCAATGAAACTGGAAAAATAATTCATTTTGTAATTGCATGCAATTGCAAAATATTTGATTATGAAATACCTGTAAATAAAATCATGTGGCATTCACAGACTTAACCAAATGTTAGGTTGCGGCAATCTTGCCAAAGAGTAACCATAGTAATTTTAAGATGCAAGATGTTATATACTGACATGGGAGCACACATACTTTTATATCCTTTATTTTCTGTTTCTCGAAATTATCAATGGTTTCCTCTAACTGCCGAGTTGTTCGAGTTGCATCCAGTGAAGCTCTCTGCAATTCACTTTCAGCCTGATAAAACAACACAAAGGCGAAATCAGTCCTGTATTTGATACATACAAAGTTATAATTACAATGGAAACCTTTAAATACGAGATTTCAAAACATCTGGGTTACTCTACCTGTACGTATGGTTGCAGCTTAATAAACAAAATTGCCTTCTATATTATGTCTTCAACATAAAACAGGAAAATTTACTAGCTTCAGCCAATACAGAAGGTTCCATTTTCTGCAGTGCTCATCTGCTAATTCCACTAAGGCATCCCTGACACTTACCTGATCTTGAAGATATTTTGGTTAGTAACTTATGTTTTCTTACAACGTAAGAGTTCACACTTGTAGACTGCAACATTTAGGTATTAAGTACTATCCATAAAATACCAGTGAATCTCGATTAGCCAAAGCAGTCTTTACTTACAGGCTCTGTTAGCAGGTTCTTTCAGGAATCTATTCCATTTAGGAATTTGAAAATGGTGTCTGCATCAAGCAATTGTATTCTGTGATCAAGATGTTGGATTCTCCCTATTTATCCAACACTTCAGCTTGGAAAGGAACTTCCTTACAGATGCTCTGGAAGGGAAGCTGCACCAGGGGCCCGGTTCCCATGGCCTATTTTTTAGTGACATCTCTTGGAACCTAGTGCATAACACGTACTGCTCTGTAGTTTCTTTTTCTTTGGTAAATATCTGTTAACCTTCTATTACAGGATTATCAACTTGAAACCTAATCTCCTTACAAAAGAAGTTTAAAGTTTGAACAGACACAATTCTGAATAGACAAAAGTGGTTGGGATATTAAGTATTAAATTTGGTTCATTTCCCTTTCTTGATTTTTCCCCAAAGAAAGGAGGGAAACAGACTAAAACAGAGCATTTTGTGCATTCTCAATTATAACAATCATTTGCTCTTTTTAAACGAAAGCAGCTGTTATGCATAAGCAGTCATTACACATGCAAATAATGTGCAGTATTTCTGTGATAATGAAATGTATCTTCTTGATTCATCTTAAATAGACTGGGCATATTTTTCATGCTGATGCTTTGGGAAAGGAATGTTGTTTGCTGTAGAGTGAAATGTTTAAACTTGCAGAACTCGAACAGTTTGCAGAAGAGCAGTTTGAAATTAAAGATGTTAAAGATGTTTTCTCTTCTGAAATACCCACCTGTGACTGAAAATATACGTAAAGGAAAAATGGCAAAATGGCAATCAATATTCATTATCAAAACAGCTATTTCCACATCTGTTTTTAGCATATTGTAAGTATTTACTTCAGATATCTGAAAATTTCTGTATATTTAGAGGCTGCTATTATTAAGGTGTCTGAAACTTTCTGTTTTTGACCTGAAATGCGCAAGTACAGATCTTTTGCTAAATATGGCCAAAATTGCTAATTGCTGATATGTCCCACTTGCGCAAGAACAACAGAACCAAGTGGGAGCCTAACTGCTATGCCGTTATCCATGACCGTGATCCAGCCTCTCTCAGACCTAAAAAGCTTGGCCACGTGCATTGTCCAGGAACAAATGAACACAATCCAGCCTAGCTCAGATAAATATTCCATTGCTGGGAATGGGGGCAGGTGGAGGAATTAAGCCTGCGTCCACTATCTTGCAGCTAACAGCTGTTACTTTAGTTGGGACCCAGGCGATGCGTAAGGGAAGCTGAGTAGCCATAAAGGTTGGAGTGGACACCACAAGTATCATCAGCAAAGACAGGGACAAAAGGCTATGCCCAAAAGAAACGTGACCTCTGTTCAACCTACGAATGCTTAAACGCATCTTTGCCACCTCCCAGCAGATTTTCTTTACCATAAGATCTGTCATAAAAGTAACTACTGAAGTGTTCCTTTCTATACCAATGCAAAGGGTGCCTAATTTCTTCCTGGCCCAGGGAAGCCTAACAAAGTTACACACTGGGTTCCTGCTCCCTATACACTTGCACTCCCTCTTGCACTGCGTTCTGGTCACCTTACAATACAAGCATATACCGTTTGGTGCCTTCAGGCATATGTGAAAGTAGACTCAATGTATACCATACCTTCAGGCATATGTGAAAGTAGACTCAGACTGAGACTTAGTAACTTTTCGGGCAAAAAAATGAGTACAGAAAATATAGATGTTCCAAGAAGGTATGCTATGGAAGAATACTTAGGAGTAGCTTAGCAAAGGAACAAGAGAAAAAAAAAAAACACCACCAAAAACATGAAAAAAAAAAACCCCAGGTGTCAGCAATATATCTGTGAAATCAACTGGGAATGACTGTGGCAGGAGGGAAGTGCAAGGCCCCTTCATGGAGAATAGCTTAGTGTTACTATTTACTCTTTTGAGTCTAAGGAGGGAGAACTCTGCATCACAGCTCCGGTTCCAACCCTAAGGCTGATTATCTGTGTGTCTTCATTACATGGCGAACACTAATTAGTTATCCCTTGATTTAACTGATTTGAATATTATTACAGCAGGAACTCTCTAGCAGAGTCAAAACCAGAATGCAATCGTCTGGGTGACACTTGATCACCACAGCCATTTAGTGATTTTGTCTGTTTGTGAAGCTCCATGTCCAAACACTGCATTGCTTCTCACTTCTGAAATGAAGTTGATACTTCAAAGTGGGTTGCTTCACAACACAATCCTCATCCAACTCCAGAATGCAAGAAAAAACAAAACGAACAAACAAACAAAACATCAAAAACACACCAGCACACAATAACTTAACTGCTCTATCATAATATATTGGTGCAAAAGGGTCTAAACTAACACTGCCCTGATGACCTCTTCTGACATTTTCTAGATTCTGATTGTTTCATTCAATCATTTTTCCCTTGTGATACAGAATAACATACTATGGAAAGTCACGGGTCTTTGGAGAGTAAGAGCAGTCTGGTGGAATATTCTGCTGACAGACTTGCAACTTGTCCTATCACACTTCTCACACAGTTGGAGGAAACTCGAACCCCATCTAGGTACAGGGAAGAACAACCAAAATGATAGAAAGAAAAATAACAAACAAAAATTCTGCAGGAATAATAAAAAAAGGAAGTGTCTGATTAGATTTTTTTTTCAAAAACATCTAATATGCTAGATGCAATTTACGCCTACCTCTTTCAAATACACATCAGATACTTCATATTATTTTCAGTCAGAAAGGAGTAGGTAATAAAGCAGCTATTATAGGCTATAATCATTATCACAAACCTTGTGAGAGCGTAATATACTTAGAGAAAAAAATCAACATAGAAAAGAATATTCCTTTCATATTGCTTCTTCAACACCATACTTTTAATTCCTGAGAAATTAAAAAATATATTTTTATAGTCACTAGAGGATACGATAATGTGCCGATCTGATGGATTCCGCTGCCGCGTCTTTTCCAGTTGTGATAGCTGCTTGGCTTCTCGATTCTTGGCCGTTAAAGTTGCTTTAAGATCATCCTGGAAATAAAACGTTTTGGACATATTTGAAATCTAGGATAGTATGAAATACACTTTTCTTTATATATGATTACCTAGAAAACAAACAGAACATGCTTTAAACGAAACCAGATTTTATTGACCTCATCCTGTTAGATGATCTTTTGACGAAGTGAAGTCAATGGGGGCTTAAAGAGTTTATTACCTTGCAAAAATCTTTGTATCACACACTGTACTTTAAAGTGTGAGGAAAAAAAAAAACAAAGACTTTTCTTGAAAAGTGCACTAGATGGTTAAAATCTGAAACTTCAAAACTGCTAACTGGGCAGCAATGACAGTCTTAGCAATGGAATAAAGGTAACATTTAGAACTGAATAGCGACATATCAGTTAAAGAAAATCCAGCAGTCAGTAAAAAATAGAAGTTATAAAGGACAGAAAAACAGCACACAATTCTTAAGACATTAGAGAAAATCCATGACTGAAACGTTCGTAGGTAATAAAGAGTTTAAATACATTTGGAACAAATGTATTTACATAATAATGATGTAGATGGAAAAGATGAATCTGTTCGCACACAATGAACAAATTCTTGATCATATTATTAAATTGCATTTTGTAAACATTTGATCTACCCAAGCTCTTAAATTTGCCATCAGATAAGCGCCAGGTATGTGAGAAGGCATTGATTTTGATTGCTCCTATTGAAAAGGGGCAGTACTTTAGGACAAGTATAAATACACAAAGGAATAAGTTTAAACAAATTTGAGGCAGGACTGAGCAGACATTTCAAACCATAATTTCCTCTAGAAAGAATATTAAGAATTCCTTTCTTCCAGAAAGGATAGAAAGAATAGTGACAATTTATCTGTCACTCCAGAAAAACAAGAAGACTAAAGATACTAAAAAATCACCTGAATTTGTACTATCCAGAATGTTTTACATTATCCACAACACACTATTTTAAAGTGCTTTTTTGTGCTCCTATGGTCTGAATATTCTCGTCTTCACATCAAAACTATTTCCTCCAATATGTGTCACGCTCCAGTTTGGATGCATTTTTATATAAATGTTAGTTACATTTATTACTGCACTAAAGAAAATCACAACTAATTTTCCTGCAAAATTTAATTTTGTAACTGACCACTATACACTCTGTGAGAAAGTACACATTTAACTTACTCTTTTAAGTTTTACTATGGTCCCATAACTTTTCAAAGGTTCGACAACTTTGGCTTCAAGCCTTTCAACCTACAAAAGAAATCACAAGGTCATTAAAGTCATCTCTACTTCTGCTGCATAGACACAGAGACCTGTGGGAATAGAGGGTTAGGAAGTACTGCCAAAAAACAAACGAACAACAGACAGAATCGGTAAGTCACTTGTATTTTGGGGAACTAAAATTTATTTTTAGAAGAATTCCTCTCATTTCTCAACAAGGAGAAAACAAAAATGGGAATTTTAATGACAGAGTACTAAATAAAATCAACAATATATCTCAAGTGCCCACAGATTTCTATTCTAAAAAGTTGAAAATAAGAGGTTTTGCTTTAAACTTTAAACATTATAGTCTGAATAATCTTTGCTGTAAACTATGCTGTAAGAAATGTAACCCTTTTGTTCCTAAGGCTAATGAAAAAAGAAGTGGAGGTACTGAAAACACTACAGATGCCTACAAGTTACTTTAAACATGTGAATGTTCTCAAGAATGAGTACATCTGAATTTTTGTTTCAGTTCTCTTGAAATTACAGATTCATAGTTTAAAAGTAAAGAAGGAGCAAGATATCACACAGTATGATTTCACCTGCATATTATGCCATAAATTTACTCTATTAATATAAGATAAATTACTATTAAATTAATAGAAAATTAATGAGCAGTGTGAGTCTGGTACATGAAATCCTATGGAAATTCCACAATCCACATCTTTGGATTTCTTACTAGTTTTTACAAATCTGGCCCTAAACACACAGTGAAAGATCCATGTTTATTTTTGTGTTTTCAGAATGTTCTACTTAGTAAGGAAGATTAGATAGATCAGATTAACTTTTAGATAGATTAACTTCCTTTAAAGGGTGTTTTTTTCTCCTTTATTAATCCATAAAGATGATTTAAAATATTTCCTTTAAAAAAATCCTATTTGAAAAAATCAAGAATGTCAAATACTTTAGTCTTTTTTTTAAAAAAATATAATGCTTCTTAGCTTCTCAAAACCATGCACGATGTTTTCTCTTCCCTACCAAAAGAAAAAGTACTCCAAAAACTGTTTTGAGTATTTGTTACACTAAAAAGTACACTAAAAAAAACAAACAAAAAAAACCCTTCAACATTAAAAATTCTGATTCATAAGTTACAATTTGGATGGACCCACACACAGGTCTACAGCTGGCATAAAGACCTGTGTTTGTGTTCTCACTAATCTAGCAGGAATTAGGCTCTAGGGTCACAATGAGCATGTACTTTGAGGTGACCTAGATAAATAACTGTTGAGACGCAGCCTTACAGAAGCCGCCAGCGCTCCCGACAGCACTGCAGGCTGCCTGTCAAAGAGCCCAGGGAGGGATTCCCATCAGTATTTTCTTCCATGTTTTTCCGGTAACAGATTCAACAAAAGGAAAATGCCTGATTTTCAGCTTAGTTGCTGCCAGACAAATCACAAAACGAGTGGGTTTTTTTTTTAACTATAAATCATAATCCAAAAATCTAGAGTTCTCTTTTTTGCTCTGCAAGAGGCTTGCTGTCTCAAATTCTGTCAGCATTCACATAAACAGCATCGCTCAACTCAACAGTACTGAAGTTTTTAGCAGAGTAAACTACGAACGCGTTGGGAGCCTATCTCACTGTACCACTAATATAGTTAAAACTGCATTCTCTTAAGATTGAAGAGTATATTTTTATATACTCTTGTACAGTGTATATAAAACTTTAATCACCCTCTTAATCACAGATGAGTAACTGAGAAGTTCTGTTGGCAAACACAACATGTACAGCTTTAATCTTGTACCTCAGCCTGGCGATAATCCTGAAGTCTGGAAAATTCATCTGCAAAGTTTTTCAGTCCAACTTTTAAGTTTGGTGTCTCCGTAGCAGCATATGCATATATTTCATTTACTAGAAGATCTGCTTTGTCTCGTAGTCTGGCAGTTTTACGTACATATCCAGCAAATATTTGGCACAGTTCTCCAAAATGTTTTTCCACATTTGAAACAGCATCTCGTATTTGTCTAGTCTGATTGTCCCTAGATATCAAAGAAAAATAAATGAAAATTAAGATGGGAACCACGTACAGAGTAAAAAAACCTGTATGATCACACCACGGAAAATTTATAACTGATTTGGAACATCTCATTTCAATGTAAATCAGAAATCTATTCTTAAAAAGACAGTGTTTTAACAAACTGACATAATTTGTGCTTAGTGATGAACTAAGGAAAAAAATAGAAAGTAGCATTTATATTTTGCTAAAAAAAAAGAAAATTCAATAGTGGAAAACTCAAATCACAAAAATCACCTCAGAAATTTTCCTACAAGGGTTAAGCAATGGCCATTATTAGTGATTACTAACACTGTGGTAATGCCTCCAGGTCTCAAATCATGCTGGATCATAGAGCTTCCTTCTCCCTGGGGGCAATCGAAGGCAGAGATTAAAATCAGGCAGTAGAGGCCAAATATGTAAAGGCACTAAAGTTTCTTTAGGTTGGGTACAGGTATCTAACTGCATTGATTCAGCACTACTGAGGGTGAAGATCCCTGGGAAATGGAGATATGGAGAAAAGCTTTCAATATTTTCAAATTATCTGAGATCTAAGTACTGGCCAATGTTTAAATACTAATCTTGTAACAGACAAAAATCAGAAGCACTGGAAGAACTTTAGTACTGCTGCGTCAAGCCAGGGGAATAAAAACCCTCCAGGAAAAAACTTCAGGGAAAAGTTCTGCTGTGGACCAAGACCAAGGAGACGACTCAGCAGTTTTTGTCTTTCCAAGAAGAGGGGGAGGCGAAAAAGAAAGAAAGAGAGAAAGAAAGAGAGAAAGAAAGTCTCTCAGCCAAGTTATTCAGCTCTCCAGGGCACGCCTGACTCACGGACCCCTTGCCCAGGTCAGACACGACAAGAGAAGTGGGGAACTACGAGGTGTTGAAGCAATTTCCCTGCGCTAACCGGAGCCTCCAGCCACGGGCCCGTCTCCCTTCCCACCTCCTTGGCTGGCAGCGGGGTCTTCCCGACAGGAAAACTCGCTTCCTCCGGAGCCCCCCGCGCCTGGAGAAGTTTCGCGGCCGCTGCGCCGGGGCACTCCAAG